TAACTATCTTCATCCTTTTGCTGTCCTTTACCCGTTAATCTTCAACCAGATTCACCCCTGACCCACTGGGTTGCTGGGGCTCACATTCATCTCTTCAAAAGGAGCTGGCCTCACTCCCTGCCCATGCCACAGATTTATCCTGGTCTCTGCCAGGATGAGCTGGGTTGGCAGTGACCTATGGCCCAAGATCAGGTTCTGCTCGGAAAAGGCGGGGAAATGCTCACAGTGGTGGTGAAGCAGCACACTGGATGGCAGGGGTTTGTGACAGTATGGTTGTGTTGTGGTCAGCAGCAGGGAATGTAGCTTGTTGAGACAGGACTGGAGAGATGTGTGACCAGTCTGCAAAAGGAGTGCACTCAGGTCAAGAAGTTTTCACATCTGCTCTTCTACTGTCTTTGGCTTGTTTGTCTGCTTGGATTGTAAACTGCATAGGCACAGCATTCTGTCTTAGCTATGGCTTGGAAGACCAGAATGAATGACTGCAGAAGAATTTGGTCTCAGTTCTTTTTTGATCTTACTTTTAAAAATTCCACTAAATCCTCAGGGCAAATGTGATACCGGTGGGGTTCTTTGCTCATACCCCCATCAGCATCATGTGTCAGATGACTTTAGCTGACACAGAGGTGACAGTTCCTGGTTGGCTTTGTTGCATGACAGTGCCTACAGAATAAAAATGGTTTTGGAAAACCAGCATCCACATAAAAGAGAGACTTGTGAGAACATATTTTGTGTTCTGTGGTGAAAGACACGAAGAGGCAACCCTACATTTTGTAAAGAGAAGGTGGAGTGAGGGCTTGGACAGTCAGTCTAGAAGTACATAGGTGAGGAGGCATTTGCTAGCAGGGATTTGCTCAGTCTGGCAAATGTAAAGCAAGGAACAATGGCTAGAAGGTGAACAAAATCAGACAAGAAGAATTTATTTTTTTTTAATGTGCCATAGTGCAAGAAGAAATTGATTGGGGGAGGTCTTATGTCACTGAAAATCAGATGAAGCCATCACAAAGATCTCTGACCATGTAATTTCTCCTTCTAATTCATGAATAATCGTTCAGCTTCCATATCAATAAAGAAATTATAACATTATGGACCTTGGGACCTCCATTCTGCCTTTTTCAAGACAGAAACAGGATTTCTGTGCAGAGGCCAAAGAAGAAATGAGTATTTTAGTACACAGAGAACTAAGCCTAGTAGTTGCCTAATTCTCTCACACCCCATTCAAGCCAGCAGAGAAGTACCCATAGTCTCACTTGATGTGTTCAGCTTCTTACAGGATCATTTTTTCAACACTCCATATGCTATGTAAATTTCTATTTATAGCAGAAGTGTGCAAGTTTCTTCATGTTTCTCTACTCCTGTCAGCTGATTTACAGGCAAATCCTAAGTCACATCAATGTTCTGTTTGTGCTCTGCAGGCGACCTGAAGCAGTGCTATTGCCAAGGGGAGAATGACGTAAAGTGGCAGCAAGGAAGGAGCGCTCCCAGCTGCGCTGTGCATTTGCCACAGTCGCCCCGGCCAGCCTCACATGGTGCAAACTCTCCGGCCTTTCTCAGATACCCCACCTCAGGCACTTCCCTGCCGCCTTCTGCTTGGTGTGCTGAGGACAGACAAAAGATGGCGAGAGGTTAAAAGCTATATTTAGTGCAGTTTTTCCCTGCAAATAAATAGCGGCTTATTAGTCAGAGGTATTTTAAAGGTCACCCGCCTCCACACGGGTGGTTGGCACGGTGGTCCCTAAGCGGGATTTGGGAGTGCCACTGTGTTACATGACGCAGCGGCGCCGGCAGTCAGCACGTAACGCGCCTTCCCAAAGCATCCCTCCGGAGACCAGGCCACTGTCGCAGCTCCCGAACAGCAATGCTGGCCTCTGGTGGCCGCGCCGGCCCTTTGCAGCAGTGTCACCAGCCCGGCACCGCCAGCGCCCGGGTCCAGCCCTGGGCAGGGCTGCCAAGGGAACGGGCATCAGACCCACACATCGTCCCCGCCATTGTGAAATGCTCCCATTATGGGAACATCGCCTTGGCACTGCCAGTTTCCCGCCGTGGTGCTGGGGGACTGACTGACTGACTGACTGACAGACAGCTTTGGCCCCAGCTCAGGAAGGTGTCCACCATCAGGACAGCTTGCTGCTGTTGCAGCAGTTGCTATTGCTTTTTGCTCTGACTACACTTGCCTGTGGGACTGAGTCTAACATTTCAGGCCGTCTGAGTAGCTCTGGGACAGCACTTTCACTGGGGCAAAGATGAAAAAAATCAACAAACTCCTACTATTAGAAAGCTTCTTCTGGTCCATAGAACATGGGCATCTGCAGAGATTAAGAGCAGAGCAGATGAAAGCTCCTTGCAATGGATATTTCTTAAGTCTGCACAAGTGAACCATAACAAAAAAAAATAAAGCTAAAAGGAAAATGAAGAAACTTAGCAAATGTCAGTGCCAGTTACACATCTCCTTTCAGCAGTCTGGTGGTTTGGTTTCCCCAGTGTTACCCGTGACATGGGCTTTGTCAGTGAGGGATTAGAAACCCATTATGGACTGCCTGACAAAGCAGAGGGGCACAAGCAGCAGGTGACACAGCAATGCAGCAGGAATGCTCAGTTGACACAATGAGGCCAACACATTTTTACAAGGCAAGACCATGCCACCTGTCTCCAAATTATCCCTGACCCCTGAGACCACACAGACTGAAATGGGGTGAAGACATTCAAGGTTCAGAGCAGGGGTGTCTCGGTACCCCCTCCGTGTGAGTGTTCCTGTTATCGCTCAGATGTCACACCTACATAAGTTATGGGGATAGACAAAGATCAGAGCTCATGGAACAGTGACTGAGCACCTAAAGCAAAGAGAGGACGTGCATGTAGATCAGCTGAGGAGTGGACAGCTCTGGAAAAAAATAACTTTCACCCTCCCTTCCTCATCTCTGCCACAGTCACAGCTCTGTGTCCCCCAGAGGCAGCAGTATGTTGAGCCCCAGGGAGAGCCTGGCATCTGTGGTGGCAGCACAGATGTTCCCTGTGCAGCCACTGAAGATGGGCACAAGCTGGAAGCCTGGGGGTGGACACAGCCCACCCAGCACAGGAGAGGTGCTACTGGGGGTGGTGGCCCTGCTGTTGCACCCAGAAGAGCCTACACTCCAAATACAAGATGGCTCTGCTCCTGGATGAATTCCTACTTGCATGCAAGAGATGTGAGTCACCAGATGAACTGATTTCCCCCCGCCCACTTCTTTTTGGATGAGGAGGCTTCAAGAGAGGAATTTTGAAATATCCAGTCCCTTTTCCAAAAGCTTTCATTAAAACAGCCCATAAAGTTTCTCTGGAAAGTTTAGGAGACCTTTAAAGAAAAAAAAATTAAAATTAAAATTCAGTTTTATTGAATGAATGAGCAGCACTGAAAATATTCAGAAAATTAAAATTAATTTGAAAATAATTAAAAATAAGAGAAGCTTAGTGTATGTTTCCAAGTTCTGGGTAATATTAACATAGCATTAAAAAACTGCAAAGGAAATTTACTGTGAGCAGGTGTTTGAAATAATTGGGGGAGAAAAAGGGTTGACTATTAATTAATGAAGAATTATGAATGTCCCTTGTTGGATTTTTTTCCTGTAGTCAACATATTTTTAACCACATGAACTTAGGGAACACATTTTTAAAGTGTGGAGCTGCTTTACAGACACATACAGGGAGCTGAGCCCCATTTATTTTATTTTTGCCAGCGGCATGCATTTGGCAGGAGCTGTTGAGAGGACCAAGGTACAACAGCGAAGTCTTCCTCATCAGTTTTAAGGCACAGATGTTAATATTTTATGGACAAAAACTCCTACACCAGGGTCAAAGGCACTGTAAACTAAAGGGGTTTCAAGAAAAGCACATGAAGAGCAAAGGTGTAAGTCCTGGTCATGCATAGGAGCTCACCCTGGGTTGTCACCCTAAAAACTTTCAGACACCTACTGAACTCCCCAGGGTCCTTTGTGGACAGATGCTGGAGCACAGGTTTTGCCTGGGCTCACCAGCCAGCCTGGGCTCCTGTTGAAATGGCTGATGGTCTTGGGGCCGCCTTGGGCAGCTGTAAAAGGGCAGCAGCTGCATGTCCTGTGCTTGGCCACTGTAAAATTGTTCTCTTGTTGATTCCTTCAGCCCCCAAGCTCTGCCAGCCAGATTGCAATGGCTTTGTTCCACATCAGCCAGGAGCACTGAGCTCTCTGGGGAATGAGTGGAACCCTTTGGTTGATTTAACTTGCAGCTTCATCAGGAGGATGTATACTTACATCTTACACCTGCAAGCCTCAGACTTATCAAATACAGGCTGGTGTTAAATGAGAACCTTCCAGTGTAAGAAGCCAAAGTTGTTTCTCAAGTATGGTGCATGTCCCAAGTGCTGCAACCAGAGCTGTGGGTAAACCAGCCAGAAAAATTTCTACTTACTGAATATAGGCCAGTGTCCATCAGAGGTTGCTTCCTGATTTCTTACCCTGTAACCTTTTCCTCAGTTTTTACTCTCACTCTTTATTTTTTCACTAGCCAGCCCACTTGAAGTTTGATTTAACTCTGCAGGAAACAATAATTCTGATTCCAGACTGTTTTGGTAGTCGATGAACTCCTAGATGTCGTAAGGTTAAAGTGCAGCTCCCAGACGGCAACACTGAATAGGCCAGTGGTGCAAGAGTGACAAATTAGGGAGAAAAGTACACCAGGTCTCTTGAGTGGCCAAACACCAGAAATTTCAGTAATTTCTAATTTCCTCCTTAGTAACCTGGTCTTAAGGACTTCCAGCAAGACTGCAGTCAAGAGCACCTCAAGTCCCATTTGCATGCAGAGAGAGCCAAGGTTTTCTTACAAGGAGTACAAACTGTGAGCCTGAGTCAACCTTTGACGTGGATACATTTGTTTCAATGGAAATTGCTTTTCTCTTCATGTACCTAGAGACAGCAGTAGGGAAAAAGGCCACAATTCTTTCTGTCACTAATATAAATGACAGGCACATTAAATACAGCAAACAAAAACCCTGGAGTAAACAAAATCAGCATTTATTCCTCATTCATCTTTTTACAAGATTTCTTCATGATTTTCACAAAAGAACACATACCAGAGATACATGAGTTAATCTACAAAACCAGATATGCAAACCAAAGTGATAAAGGTACATGAAAATCCACATGCTTCATGATTTAGTTGCCACATGCCTGTTCTCTAAATTCAAGGGAAGTTGTCTTGGGGTACACAAACATTAGTTCTGCCACACCAAAATGAGATCACCAACTCTACAGATGCAGCTAAACAGCATATTTACAAAGCACCATCTCTACCAGTCTTCATCTAAGTTTGAAACAGGTAGTTAGCTGTTCAGCTACCAAGCCTTCATGGAAGGTGAAACAGTCTAGCATTCCTAAACAGATTCATGCAGTGTTTAGTTTTATACACAGGAGACACAAGAACAAGTATGTATAGGTGATAAAAGTAGCACGTGAAGATGCATCATCCTCCTGGAAGGAGTTTGGAGCATCGGTGTTCACTCATCCATTCATCACTACTCTGGGTGCAAAACTGCATCTGTTACCACATATCAAAAGTCCAAAAGATAAGAATTGCCCTGCTCACTGGATCCAGAGGAATGGAATCCAGTGATTCCAGGTTTCCATCAGTGGAGAAGAGCTGACAAACACCTCCGTTTCTCACAGCTCCTGGTGGGGGCCATTTTGCTGAAAGAGGCTGTCAGTGATTTATAGTGTCAGCATTAAACTGAAAATGCTAAAATAACTTGACTTTTACTGCAGCAATTTAACCACTGCAGAAAAACTGTTTCTTGATTGAAATTCCTTCACTGTTAAAAAGATTACAGTTCCTTTCATTTTTACTGATCAGGACTGTTGCAAAGTAGATATTTTTGGCAGGAAGGCGGGGTGGTTAAACTGGGCTCTTCTACTACTCACATCACAAAAAGTGGCTCTAGCATTTCCCTTATTTATTTCTGTGAGCTACCCTGTTATTCCTGGTTGGAATCAAGAATTTATGTTGGCTTTTACTTTATTCAGCTTCTGACATTAGAGGTAATAAAAAACCAAAATTAAAAAGCAACTACTCTTGTAATCTCCAGAGTGGATTGTCCAGGTTGCCAACTGCTTATGCTGTGAGGGTACCCAGAGGAGTGACTGGCTGCAGGTGTTCACAAACATGGACATGATAGCATGGAGATCTTTCTGCCGAAGAGGTTTTTACCCATTTCATAATCTTCAGGATGTACAACATATAAAAGCTGTTGAAAAACCACTTGTGTCCCATCTTGTGCCAAGTATATTTGCTTCTAGTCTTGAAGTAGTCTTGGACTACTCCAGTATATCTGGCATCCAGTATACCTGCTGCATCTATAGGAGTGGGAATGACAGTGTCCCGATTCTTTTGAGTGCCAGGTGATACTTGTCATAGTCTCAGGATTTTATTTTTTAATTTTTACATGTCAGGAAGAATGCGCAAGACAAGCACAGCATCTGGACACTTCATCCCTCCGCAACTGATATTTCTATACCACTCTTGAGGTACCTGCAGTCATCCCTGTCTGTCTGTGAGTACCCAGCTAGATGGAATAAAAGCAGCTGGAACAGTGCCTTTCACACCCAAACCTGCTCACAAGCACAGAAATTCACAGTTTCCAAATGCAATCACATAAGCCAATATGTAGCTAAAATTATAAGCAAACTCACAAAGAAGTAGGTGACTTAGTAGAACCTAGTAGCCATAGTATTATTATGACCTAGTAGAAAATAAATGATGATGTGTCAAAACAATGATTTAACACAGCAGGACTTAGGTATTAGTCATTACAGAACATACTTAAATCATAAAATCATAGAATCATAGAATAGTTTGAGTTGGACGGGACCTTTAAAGGTCATCTAGTCCAGCCTTCCTGCAATGAGAAATGAGTTCTCCCACTTGATCAGGTTGCTTACAGGCCTGTCCAACTCACCCTAGAATGTTTCCAGAGGTAGGGCAAAGTAAAACAGAATGCAAATCAAACTTGCATATGTGAGCACACACACAAAACAGCATGCTGCTCAACGTGCAATGAGACACAGTTAGGAAGCCACTAAAAAGAATCTGTCTCAAGCTATTATTTACTAAAATTACAACAGCCAGGAAAGATCCCAGAATCACAGAATTACATAATTTTTAGGGTTGAAAGGGACCTCTGGAGATCATCCAGTCCAACCTCCTTGTCAACACAGGGTCACCTAAAGCAGATGACAGAGGAACACATCAAGGGGGGTTTGGAACATCTCCAGAGAGGGAGACTCCATGATCTCCCTGGGTAGCCTGTTCCAGTGCTCTGCCACCCTCAATGTAAAGAAGCACTTTCTCATGTTGGGGTGGATGCAAGACACAAATGAACATCTCTGGAGACATTTTTCTCAGGCACATTGCTATACACAGCAGTGATGATTACACAGCAGTATAATTTTTTACCCTTGGTGACAGTAAGGCCCTAGGTAAGGTACCTCCCTTTTGACTCAGTGCTGCAGATCCAGCATCCCTGGAGCAAAAAGCAGAAGTGCACTTGGGATTCTTTCCTCCTTCACTGCACACCTGTAAGCCCACTTAGCGTTAACCCTGGGCACCAAATGACACCTTCAGACACTGCAGAAACTTGCTCAATCCAACCTCCTCTGACTGGCCCTCCCTCAAATTCAGCCCCTACTAGAGGAGCTGTTCCACGAATGAAACAGTGAGACAATTTACAGACAAGACTCTAGAGAGGAACGCCCATTATCCATGTTATGAAGAATGGAAGTTAAATGCCCTAATTGTATTAGCACACTGTCCAGTAGCACAAGCCAGAGGCTGCTGAGGGGTCCCCTCCTCAACTCATGCCTAAATTTTCAAGGTGGGGGAAATATGTCCAGCTCTTCTATCCTCCCATGCATTCCTATTTCTGACAGAGAACTGTACAGATGAACTTGGGGGATGTGCTCAACAGAGACCACATTTTTCTACAGCTCCTGGAGGATTTGTGGTTAATTCAATGCAGCACATTCTAACACTGGGCTGATCGTCATGGCACTAAGCTCTTAATTACTACTCAGATGTATATATCAACAAATAATAAATCCTCTTAATTCCACTGAGCAACAAAGCAGAAAAGACTGTAGTCACACTATTATTTTAGTATTGCTAGTAAGGTTCAAAATTACATGCAATTTATCAATGTAAAATCTACCAAAGGAAAAACAAAACCCTGATCCAATTCTACAACAATGGCACTAAAGTGCATAATGAGATCCTGTAATTCCAAAATGGTTTGCTGCATTTTAGTCTGATCATTGAGTTGTTTACTGTACAAGAACCTACAATATCTTGCAGACAGTCAGAACAGGAGTGGGAACTCCAGTCCTAACTGAAAGGCAACTTTTATATACATTTCGACCAGACAAATATAAATGGTGAGTAAAAACAAGCAGCCCAGCTTCTACCTAGAAGTCATATGCTCATTTTCTTGCTTTGATACAGCTCAGTCTTTTCCCCAAGAAACTTCCATTGCTGCTTGGCAACGTTTACTTTAGTAAAGGCTACAGATGAGGATTTGAAGATGGCAGCATTGTACACTGTATAAAAGCAACATAGTGTGTCAGTGTGTGATAGCATTATTGGCAATCTCTGGTGCAACACATCAGTATTACTATGTCACAGTTGTAAGAAGCCCAGTTCATTTACAGGAGCAGTCTTAAGGGATGTACTACAATGATTTTAAAACATTGGATCAAACTGGCTGTAGAGTGTGCGATGGCCATGATGTCCCATTAATGGGCCCCTTTTCATTTGAAAATTAATGCTATCCAGAAAGGACAAAGGTGTGAGAAGCAACTCATTGCATGGTGATGAATAATACTGTTTTGTCTTTATGTTGATCCCTTTTTTAAAAAGACAGAACTTAAATACATAAACATATGAAATGAATAGATAAATAGAGATAGCTATGTTAATATGTGGTTTGATCAGAACTGCATTAAGCAAAGACAATGTAAAGACACCACAACAGCATGATTAAATAAAATACTCAGTACAATTTGCATTTATGTGGTTCTGAAACCAAGCAGTAAGAAAGCCATATACAGCAGGAAGTCTCATTATTTTAACTTCAGATCTTTGGCAACTTAGATTCACTTAAAGATGAGCCATAATCAAAAAATTTCAGGTGAAGAATTCAACTGTTCTGACTCCTATTTTTTTTACCTAGTTAAGAATCAGAAAGGCTTGGGAGCAAGATAAGAAAACTTTAGAAATACATTGGGTTTTTACTTGAGCCTGTACTCAGAGGTTATAATGAGCAAAGCACTGACTCCCCTCTTTGCCAGTGGTCCTAATCAGTTAAATTAGCATTAAACAGATTAGCTGATATAAAATCACCCTCTGTTAAAATAACTCTGAATTATATTTCCATTTTGGAGAACAGGGTATGCACAGGTACAAGTGAATAGTGCCTTGTTCTCTTTCTTGTTTAATTAATCCAAGTGTATTTACAGCGAGCAGTAATTCATCAGGCTGAAAAATCCTGAAATGTACCATACCACAGTTGCAGCAAATTCACCTGTACACAAGGAAAGCCTCATTTCTCCCTTCCACGGGTGTTACATCAACATGGCTTTAACTCTGGTTGAGCTAATTCTTAACTCATTTTAGTGTGACAGGAAAAACAAACTTCAAATCATCCACTAAAGGCAGCTTTAAATTTGCTGCAATTTTGGGTTTTTTTTTTTTTTTTTTGTTTGTTTGGTTTTTTTGTTGTTGTTGTTGTTGTTGTTGTTGTGGGGTTTTTTTTCAATTATTTGATTCCAGTGTCAAATGAACCTTGGATACAGATATAACATAGTGACAGATTGCCTTCTGGGCTCAGATGAGAAACAGTTAATTTTACATGATAATTTAAACTTTAAGGAGCCTTTGATAAGTAAATGAGGACATAAGACTAAATAGAGAAAAGTTCATTATGAAACCAAGCTAATGTAGCACTTGCAGGCAAGGAGAACACACTGCTTCAGAAGAAACACGTTCCTGCAACCTGGAGAAATACTTTCCTTCTTTTAACAGCTGAATAGAGAAGAAGCAGCTCCACAATGCTGGGACTTGTCCTGCAACTAAAGTGCTGTTGGTCCATTTAGTAGAAGTCTCAGTCATGGCAGGGGGTTAAAGCACCGAGACTGCTGATATTTTCAAATCTCTTAGCAGCAGTAACCACACAGCAGCTTTTCTGCAAAATAAAAAAACAAGAATCCAGTTAATTCAGCAGTATATTTTTTTCATTTGGTTAAATGTTCTGGGATAACCACATGGTGGTTTCTTTGTGCAAAAAGAAAAGAAAGCAGCACTGAAGTTTCTTGCTTACAAAAGATTCTCACAGCCACCTTTTCTGTGAAATGTTTTATACAATATTAAAAGGACAAGGCTTCTTTATTAAGTGGAGAATTGATGCTGGAGGTATCTCTTTAAATGCAGCTACTCTGCTTTTTTTTACTTCTCTTGTCATACAGATCATGGCATGCAAAGGCATGCTGCAAACCTCTCCATTTATTTGTGTTACCACTGCAAGCATTTATAATGCCAGGTTTAAATCAACTGGCACTTGAGTGCATTATTTTGGGTTAAATGTGGTAACCATACTACTTGCCTGATAAAAATAGCTAAAGGGATTCTTTAAAAATAAAGCACAGCTATGACTTTAGATCCACTCATTAAGTAAACTCAAATAAACTCCAAAAAGAAAAACACACACAGAGGAAATAACACTGCAAAAGCCAAAACCAGATTTTCCTGCAAATTAGATCATGGGTAGGTTACTATGTTACAAAGCTATTAAAAGTTTATTTTAAAATAACTTTGACTGCTGTTGGACAGTCAATTTATCTTAAAGTTGACTTTGGTTGTAACATAAAATTGTGTAATACAGTGCTTCCTGCACTACAGAGGGAGAATTTTCACAATTTTGTTTTGTGTTTGCTGCCACAAGTTAGTGGCTTGAAATGGGAAACCCAGATACAAACACTAATCATGCAACAGGGCCCAAAAACCTGTTTAGATATCTACTGTGTAGAAGCACACAGGTGAGTGGACCAAAGCTTCATGGTATCTGTCTCAGCACCAGTGATGTGAGGGTGAATACTGAGGGTCACAAAGAGGTATAAATTCCCGCTGGATTTCTACTCTAGAAGCTGATGGTCAGATATTACCACATCAGGAAGTTGCATGGCTTCAGAGAGCAAGTGGGATGTAAAAACGGTACCTTAGTCCTTACTGGCTTCCATTGTATGCACTGAAAGGCATCTTCATGCCTCTGAAATAGCTCATGTAAAGATCATTACCTTCTGTGTTATCCCAGTACACTGCATAAAATCTGCTCTAATCTTACTTAGAACAAAAACTTCAACCTCTCACAATACTCTGTTTTCCACATGTTCCTGGAAAAAAACTTGTTGCAAAAAAAGCCAGTATATCACTTGTCCTACCAAGTAGATGATGGATGATGGCACCATTAAAAACTTGCCTTTTGGCAAGTGGTGAAAGGTGGACTACTTTTATTTTGGCATCCTGTTGTTACTCATGACGCACTACGAAAAGGAAGTGGTTTTACAGTGTACGTGTGTGTTCTCAGCCTAATTCACATCTTGACCCTCCACTGAGTTTTGCCCAGAGATGGCCTCCAGAACCTTTGAGCAGTTCCCCTGGTCCCTGAGCAGAGCCACCAATTTTTGTGGTAATTGGTGAAAGTGGCGGTGGGAATTGGAGTATTGGTTTATGGAGACACTGCACTGCCCGAGGCAGCGCGATTTCAAAGTGGCCCAGTGAGTGTGCATTGGTCAAAGACCAGGGACAGAAAAAGAGAGCAGACTTGAGTCTGCCTGATCCCCAGGGGAGGCAACCAAGCCAGTACGAGAACCACTAATGAACTGTTTGTTAATGAAAGGGCAAAGACAAGGAGCCAGGGAGAAAGGACAGAGAGATGCTCTGTCAGACTCCTTTGGGTTGCTAAAAGGGGAGGTAAGTGCCCTGTCAGAACTGCGTCCTCGGACGTGTGGAGCAGCTTCTTTTAGGGGTCACCTTGCTTTGATTTTGCTGCAGTTAGTCAAGCTACCCTGAGGGTCTGGCCCGTGCCTCTGCTAAAAAGTTATTATTTTTCATATTTCTACCCTTTTTAAACTGTACTTCTAACCACAGCATGAAAACCCAAAAGCTTTCAACACTGAAAAATTATTGGGTGAAATCCCTGCCCCATGAGAGCCAGGGGGAGCATTACCATTCCCTCTAAAATGGCCAGGGTTTGCAGCACATATGGCTCCATATCCATTAATTATTTTGCACGTTGCTGTTACTTGGTATAAGTAATAGAGCCAGTTTACATTTTGAATGCTTTCCAGACAGCAGCAGGGATGGTGGTGGTGAATACAGTTTGGACCATGCACTTTGGACTACCCAAGGTTTTCAGCTGTCCACTGATCCCTTGCACAGGGGCTACAGCTTTTACATCTGAAGGAACATTTGGGACCTGAAACAAACCTTCTGTTTGGCAGCTCTTTCAGAGAGGTTATTTAGCCAGGGGTGCTTGAGACACGCAGTCACCTTTAGCCTTTCTCTAAGGGGAAAAAAATAAAAAGACACCATTATTGGAGCCCTAATTGAAGATCAGTCACATCTTACTTCTACTTAAGGTAATGGCAGAAAAACACTGCAACATCAGCATGTTTAGTGAAGCTCTTTTGCAAAGCACAAGTATGAATAAAAAATACTGAGGGAGAAGATGCAAAGGACAACATGAGCTCTAAGGTTTGCATTAGGGTAGGGTTTCCTGAGAAAAAAAAATGGTGATAGGAAGGACAGCAGTTTGTGTTCTTGCAGCATTTGGAAAAGACTGTCTGTTCCCCAGATGGCAGAAATCAGAGCCTCACTGGAGCCCAACTAAAGGAGTCAAATTATATCCTAAAAAGACTCTGAAGATATATTAACCATGACAAACTCTCCTATTTTTACTGTGCACACTGACTTACAAATCTTCTAATAATCTCATGGGCATTGCTGTTCTGGGAGATTACAACAAAAACTAAATTCAAGTGAAAATTAGAGTAATTTATTTGATTTTTTTTATATCCTATTTTATAGTAATTCTGGTTATCCTTAGTCTATAACGGGAACATCTTACAAGGACAGAGCTGACAAGACGCTATTCAGTCCATCGCACTGCCTTATCAGTAGGGCTACCTCTGCTTGATTATCAGCATAATCTTTTCTTTTAACAACACTATTTTGTTAATTAATAATATCATCTATTAATTCTTAATGATGGCTGTATATGCACCTTGACATATACATCCTAGACAATGCAGCAGTCACTTACTTTAACTCAGAAATGCTTTGCCTGCAACGGAAGAAGTGAATATCGCACTTCAAATGCTGTGAAAATTTTGAAACCTGTTTAGAATTATCTCCTTGTGAACCACAGAACCACAGAGTGGACTCACTTAGAAACAGCCAACAGAGGTGGCTCCTCACCAACAGCATGAATCTCCAAAAATTACTGACACAGGAATAACCTACAATTTTAAAAAGTGATTTAAAATTGATTTAAAGTCTTGTTGCTCCTCCAACTCAGTCCAACTGAATTGTTTGCTTGAGCAAACAACTTGTTCTGTGTTGGCCACTAAGCTGGCTACCATTGAAGGGCAAAAAGGTGTTTAAGTACCAAGGTATGCACCAGGTGAAGTTCCAAGCTCTGTTGAGAAAGGTATCTCTTTGGAAGAGGTAGGATGAAATAGCACTTGGGGGATCTTCAGGAGAGCCTGAAAGGGTTTTCAAAGTAGGAACAAGAATCATCCCTAGCTGGAAAATCCTTTTAATACAGAAATTCAGTGCTCATTTTGTAAATACTTTCATTTTGATAAGAAGTTGATCCACTCAGCAGCACACAGCATTGCAGGATCTTTTCTTTCCTCCCAGACATGCAAGAATTGATGAGCAAATGTGAGCATGCAAATTCTAACAGCTAAAAAAAAGCAATGGGACACATGTGGCTCACAGTGGCAAGAAATGAATCAGCAACAAAGACTCAGATGAAGTTAAGAAAAATGTCAAAGCAAAGTGATGTGGCAGCACAAGAGGACAACAATAGATGCACAAGGATATTTAAATGTAGGGACCTGGAGTCTGCAGTGGAGCTTGTGGTCTGTTAACCATGGGTGTTTTAAGGCAGCACTTGCACTTAATCTCCAGCTAGAGGAAAACCAGAATGCTATTAAGAGTTTTTCCCAGAATCTTACAATTCAGCAATTATCTGCTACAGGTCATGTGTTCTGCTATCTTGCAATGCTGTCATTTCAGAACAGTATGGCAGACAGCAGATTAATTAAGTTTTGTTTCATAGCAAAAATGTATTTAGGTAATTTCAGAGCATTTGATGGATACAATGAACAACATCAATGAAGTATCATTATAATACTGTATGTGGGCATAAAAAACTTATAAGTCATATTAGTCCTGAGTGGAGCAGCACAAGTGACACAAATGTGTCATGATGGCATGAAATACACATTTCAAAGATACAGGATTATATACCATTTTTCCTTGATGAGAAGCTTTGATATGAAATCTTTGGCCTCATCAGAAACATCTCGAAATTCCTCATCTTCAAAATCCCAGTTACAGGCCAGGATATTGTTGAGGGTCTCATTGTCATCATCACCCAAAAAAGGAGACAACCCAGTGAGGCTGAAGTAAAAAGGAATATGTTCAGTAGGAATATGGAAGGAATATGTTCAGTCCTCCTCTCTTTCCCTCTTCCTGTACATGGTCTCCAAGGTGCCAGCTAAGATTGTTCTATCACTCTGACCCAACTTAAAAAATACTATTCTCTAAGAAGGTCTCCAGACCATTCCCATTTTCTCATCTATTTACAAGTTTAATCACCCTTCTTCTCTAACACACCAAGCATTACTGTCTTTCATGGTAGGTCATATTTTCTAGACCTCTGACCACTCTTGTACTAACCACTGGGAATTTACCAAACAGCTTACATTATTCTGGAAGTGTGATGCTCAAACACTCCTGAGAGATGTGCAAAAAAACAAAGATGAAAAGTTCATGGCAATTGGAAAAGATGAGAGATTTCTCAATATGGAACTTGGAAAGAAGTCTACGTTTCCTATTTTGGATACACAGTTTTTCACTCTTCCAGTATAACAGCAAACTTGGATGACTGACACAGCTCAACCCAGGAACAGCTTACAAAGCAGATACTGAATCCTACTTACAGCATATAAGCAATGACTCCTAAACTCCACATGTCTGTAGGAAAAGAGACAAACTCATAATTCACAACTTCAGGAGCAAGAAATTCTGGAGTCCCAAAGTTAACTCGAAGTTTTTCCCTGGGTTTATATCTAGGAAATGGGAACATTAACAAAGGGCATCAATGACGGTTCTTATTAAAGTTGCATCATCAACGGTCTAGCACTTAGAGGAATTCCAGAAGCATACAAAAAATTCAGTAGGAAAACAAGGACAGACAGAGGCACAAGCTAAAAAGAAATATACACACATATAGAATGAAAAGAATTTTCAAGCTTTGTATCGTACTAGGACAAAATGCAATTGCTATAAAAAGGAAGAAATTCGTAATTCAAGGACTTCTCAGAGCAGGTCTTACCATCCTTTTGGGACTTCTCCATATCATAGGCATGAAATTTTTAACCAGTAAATCCTTCACTGTGGTTATAGCACCTAGTTAAACTAGAAAGGGATATAGCATGGGATATATCCTAAGAGCCCTCAATGGTACCTTACACTCTCTTTTGAAGAATATCTTAATACTGGAGACAAGAGACTAGAAAAGATGTACCACTAGTTTTGTCCATTTTACCTGTTCCAAGATACTTATATGCATTCTTAGTGAAAATCAGCCCTCTTTCAACCATCTACCTGAAAAGAATGTTTCAGGACAAATCTTTTTCACTCAGCACCAAACATTCCATATTTTAACCATATCCCTGGTTAAAAGAAACAAATTTGTCCTAAGAACAGTAGAAGACCATTGTGTATCAAATACATCATTGCAGGATGCAATACTTTTTTCATTGTTTCCTAATTCATTTATGATCAGTGAGAACACACACATGTACCTTCTTGCCAATCCAAAATCAATAATTTTTATTTGATTTGCCTCTCGGTTCACACACAGGATATTCTCAGGCTGCCAAGAGAAACAAAAAAAGAAAAACACCTGAATGAGAAACAAGTATGAAAAACTTGGCTTTTAGTAAACTGTAGGGAGAAAAGTACTAATAACAGTGCAAATATCTCACAAGCACCTTTTGCTTTCCTCCTTGTTCAGATCTCTTTGCATGGATAACCCCCCTTGCTCTCACACAGCAATCAGAGCCATGCTTTTTGTGCCTTCCAACTGCTTTTTCTACTCCACAGCTTTTCAATTTGACATAAGGCAGCAGTTCAGATAAAGAACTCATTAGGGGGAGGGGGACAGGGAACACAGACTTCCAAGAAGGGGTTTCAGGATGCTTTCACTGTGACTTTACAGACCTTAATAAGCTCACACTGACTTTTAAAAAAAAAAAAAATTTTGGGCTTTGAAATTTATCTTACAGCTTTACATTTCTGAGTGCTCAAATGTTCTGTCAGACTGAACATTAATATATTAAGCCAGTCACATCAACTTCATGTTTTTTTCAGGTGTTTTAGCAAAAAATAGGATTCACAGGTTAAATCTCTCTGGATTTTCACAGGGCCAAATGTTACTCTTCACTTTCCTGGCAGGAATCCATTAGCTTCCAAGAATTACTTCAAATTCTTACAGAAGGAACTGAGAGAAGGATTTGGCCAATTGTCTTTGAAATGTAAATACCTAAAGCACAGAACCATAATCACTGCCAGGACTTTTATAGCTACTCTGTCTTGTTGCTCAGTGAGTCCTCTTTGAAACAAAACAGCCCTCAACACTTAAAACATTAGTTAACCTTTGTCACCATTACTAATTCATTTTACATGTAGAACTTTTAAACACCATATGTCCATAGTTTCTGAGGTCCTGGATGATTATGGTCAAGATGATTTTCTTTCAATTTCAAGCTTTCTTTCCCAAACTCATTTGTTACTGACAGCAATCTATGAACAAGCAAAACAGAAGGGAGAAGCCCTTCATAGCTGGCAAGCACATGAAAAGAGGTCTCTGGGATTAATTTCTTGGATTGTATATGTATATTTTTGTCAGCAGTTTGACCTCATATTAAAACTGTGCCATCTCAAGATCATAATTAATGTGTCCCAAAGAACTGTGTGAACTTCTGTTTGACAGGTTTCTAGGTAACTGGATGTTTATAGAGAAAGAGAAAAGTAAGTCTGGTCATCGATTGGCTACAGAAGCAGGTCCCAACAAGCATCTGCTCATTTCCCTAACCACTGCAATAATATGTATGCTAACAACATTAAAGATGTACTATATTAACTCAGTTATTACAAGCCAAAAACAGCAGCTGTTATAAAAATCTCACCAAAGAGAAAACCATCTTGTGCACTCCTTGTTTCTTTTTATTGTATTGTAAAGCCCAGGGATCACTAGGAAGCTTTTTAGCCAGTCATTAAGCTAAAGACATCATCCCATTTTATTCCTGCACTATATAGAGGTAAGAAACAAGTCCATTATTTAATAAAAAATTGGGCTGAGGGAAAAAGAGCCAGCTCAAGTGTACAGTTTAATGAAAAAGAATAACAAATGTTTTCAAAGGGGTGGCAGTTGACCATTTGCAGTTGACCAGAGTGATTGTGTTTTCAAGTTGAAAACTGAAACAAGTGTTTTCAGTTGACCATTTGCAGTTGACCAGAGTGAGAATCTGCAAGTACATGGTAGAGTACTTGTACATGTGCAAGTCCATGGTAGAGAATCTGCCACCTTGCTCTGGGCTTTCACCTACACTAGCCATATTCATTACATTAACCACTGACTGTTTTTATTCCTTTCATTTCAGGAAGTACTTTCTAATGTACTTTCCCTTAATCTGACTATCTATTGATGCCTTTTCATGACAACAGCAGTTGAGTGTAGTCCTCAGAAAATTGTGTGGGCTTACATTGATCCTGATTGACCCTTGAATTTAGTTCGACTCACTCATGCCTTTCTGCATAGTACAAAACAGAGACAATTGCCACCCCACAGCTGATGTGTAAAACATGCTTGTGCAGTTGAATTAAATAATATTTGCACAATATCTTGGGATCTAAGTATTGAAATTAAAAATAGCAATGTATTTGTAGTCAACTGCTGGCTTTCTATGAAATCACTCTGTGGAAAATTTAAGCACTACGAAGCTTGATGACATATGACCACAATTTTCATCTAATTTACTTAGTCCTGTAGTAATTTAACTGATCTCAATGTGGTTAAAGTAAATATGCATTGAAATAAGGAAAGCAGAACAAGGCTCTTTGTTGTTTCTGCCACAGGAATCTGCTAAGCTTTATGGCCTACAATTAAGAATGGAATTTCCACATCTGTCATTGCACAAAACATACATCTCAAAACTCTACCTTGAGATCCAAATGAAGAATGTACATTTGGTGCATGTACTGAATTCCCTTGCAGATCTGTTTTATGAACGAGATTGTATCCATCTCTGTCAAATTGTAGTTTTCATCAATAATTCGGTCAAATAACTCTCCTCCTTCCACACTGAGGAGAAAAGGACAATAAAGCAGTGACCAAGTTCAAATCCCATCCCATACAGTAAGATTTATGCAGAAAATATGCTATTGACTATCTTTATCATTCATAGTCAAGTTCAGTAAAATGGGCTTGTACTCTAATCTGAACTTTCTGAAATGTGAGTTCTGAGGCATACTGGCCTGAATCTCTTCAAGGCCCAAGAGTCCAGTCTCTCATCCACTGAAAACCATGAACATCTTGAAATTTAATATTATGCCGTCTTGAGTTCTCGTTTTGGACCAGTGAAATTAATGATGTTCCATGGAAAACCAAGACAACATGATGGAGAATCTACATTTAAATCTGCGGTCTCTTCCCTCTGAGTTTAAAAGGGACAGGATCCAAAATGTCAATCTCAAACTATCTAAAGTCTACCTAATTTCTCTTCACATTTCAGTATGCCTCCAGCTTATCTGTTCATAGGTACACAGATACTTTTCTTTTGTGATATGTTAATCATATAGGCCAAATTCAGAGGACTATCTGAGAATCGTCCAGAACAGTCAAATTCACCTAACTTTGAACCCTTCTGCCACACATTTCAATGGTTTAGGTTTGGTCTTTTTGGCTTCCTTAAGGCAGCATCTGCTTAACCTGAGCTTAAGGCAGGTATTTTCTGCCTGATAGTATTTGCCTGGTAAGCCAGCATAAAAAGCAGGTTTATCCTTTCAGGCACCCAGTATAAGGATTAGGCACAACACCCACAGATGGCTCCTCTTTGGTGTAAGATGTCTTCTTGTTTGCTTCACAGAATAGGAGATATTCTAAGAGGTTTATTTCTTGGCTGACACAAATTAAAGTATTAAATTAAAGATAAGATATGTAACACAGCTCTATCTTCAACTGGAGCAGTTGCTTTACCACACCAGGAATGTGGCAGACTACTGGAAAAAATTAAAAAATGGCTGCATGGGAAAACTTTTATCTTAAATTCCTGGTTTTTTCCTGTTGTTCATGAGAACATATATGCATTTTCCACCTGTAAAAAGCTCTAATTCTCATTTCACAAGAAAGCAAGAAGGAAATTGACAATTCTAGCAAAAGTAGTAAACACAGAAAGGAAAAGAAAAGAACACACTTACTATTCCATGACGAGTACAATATCATTTTTAGATTCAAAGGCATCATATAGCTGGATGAGGTTGACATGATTCAGCTGGTTCATGACATTAATTTCATTTTTTACTTCATCCTGTAAAGAGCCATGAGTATTGCTTCAGATACCTTTTTGTTCCTAAGAACACTACATTTGAAGCAAATCTGCATTATGTTCATGTTTTCTCTTGTGGCAACCAAACTCAGGGTTCCTGCAGTAGATGTCAAAGCTATAGGATCTAACAGACTGAATTCAGAGCTTGAGTGGGGTATTTCTTAAGGTATTTAGGTATCCTAAGGTATTTACTGGAAAAGGAAGAGGAGAGCCCACCTGTACAAGTAGCAGGCTCCCAGGGATGTAAATGAAAAAAAAAAGAAGCAGAAAAGGATTTTGTTCAAACAGCTGTAAGGGTACAAAATCAAGCTGACAAAAGTTCCAAGACAGTCCTCAAAACCTAACTTTGCAGTTAAAGGAGAGAGACTGGCACCTCCATTCAGCCCAACTATTTTAGACACGCTGAATGACAATGAAAGCCTCTCTCCATTCACCATAAAGGGGGTCTTGAAGATCAGCTTGGCCACAGCTACACCTTAGCAACCCCAGTTACCTAAGACAAATCGCACTCTTGTATGCCCTTAATGACACCCATGTCACAAAGGATGTCATGCTTTTCTTCCCAGTGAAAGCCAGTCCCAGATGGCAAAGAGGTTTGCAAAATAGCCCAGACTAATTGCTCTTATCTGTATTTGCGATGATGTCAGATGCCTAGATCATGCCTGTTATCAGCCCCCACTGATATCAAGTCACTGCAGCAAAGACTACAGTGTGCTTGGGAGGGAATACACTATGTCACAGGCCTGACAAATGTTTTTACCATTGAAGAAAACACTAATAGAATTAGCAACAGAAAGAAAAAAAAATTATATCATATTTAAAAGAGCAGAAAACACTCCCAAAATAGTACTTTGATGAGCTACTAGTAGTTTTGGAGGAGAAGGAAAACAGAACTGGAATTAATGATATTCCAGCAAGTCCTATGAGTGTGATGGCTTGTGAGACTCTTGGTCATGGCCTGTGGTGTAGCTAAGAGCAGTGTGTGATCCATTGGGGAACAAAAAACTAATACCATTCTCCACCAACCTTCTGTTTTGGACCTTGTGCTTTTATAATTTTGGCTGCCAGCTTGAGACCTGTTGCTTTCTCTTCACATTTGTGCACTTGCCCAAAACGCCCTCTAGAAAAAAGGAGAAACAAGCATCATCCAGTGGTACAGGTGTCAACTCTGAGTGTAAACTACACTATAAAGAACCATAAATTATCCTCTCCCTACTGGCTTTCATTTCAATTACTGTGTTGTTGCTATTTTGTTGTGTAGATTGTACTTGCTACTACTCATTTAGGCACATCAACTTCACACAGTGTTCTCTCTGGTCCTACCCCACTTGTATGATTCACTATACTCACCTCATAACCTGCAATGACTAATCCCAGGAAAGTCAAGGATGTACTGTAAGGATAATGGCTCACTTCTGTGCAGCATCTGCCCCTCTCCATCACATTGTTCTCCTCCATGGGAGGGTTGTGTTTTCTTGATGATACAAATCCTTATCCAAGAGTATGCTGCCATGAAAATTATAATATCCCACTCTCCTAAATAATGTCAACACGAGAGATAAGTAACTTCATGGCCTGTCAGATCAGCCTGCTAATCTATCTGAAAATAAGCATGTGTTTTCAGGGGTGAGACTCACTGAGAGGAAGAAGACTACAATATGTGTCTACATACTGCTGACTTACTAATTTGAGGTAAAGTATTTCAGCATCCTAGGAGCCCTGTCATAAAGCCTGAGGGCATCTGGCTGGCCTAGAACAATGCCAAACACAAGCCAAGTCTGCTGGTGCAAAATAGCAAGCCAGAATTCACTCTCACTATAAAACCACCCTCCTCTTTTTGTCCCTCTATAAAGCACTTTAAGAGCATAGACTTTCATTACTTCAGCTCTAGTGGGGCATGTTGCCACTATTCACCTTCCAGGGTGCTTGGCTGTAAATGTGTACCTTGCTTTCCAAGTTGATTTACTACATCTGACTTACCCTCCCAGAATTTCATCCTCGTTGACATTATAATAATTGCTGATCCCCACCCTTTTGGCTGAGACAATCCGGTGATCAAATGGTGCTGGTGGAGTAGGAATATCATCTAAAAAAGACAAAACAGACAGAGAGCATAAGTGGTCACATGCATTGCTTGTCTATCCCATATTTTAGTTCCTCTTTTCCCCAGATAAGTTCATTTAAGAACTGAATACACTTACTGTAAGCTTTATATACAGGTCTTTCTCTGTTATTGAACAAGGGTTTTATTCCAGAAGCTCTGGCTCAGAAGAAGAGGTTGTTGTTAGGGAGCTACATAACCAAGACAAGGACTCCTTTTTTAAGTTATCGTCTTTCATACAACAGTTGGGATAGGTAAAGTGAAGACCACTAGACTACACCAACGTAGCTTCATACTCACAAGGGGCCTCTGCAATTCAGCCTAATCTCTGATTTTTTAAAATATTTTTTCCTCCTCTGAGACTATTAATAGGGGAGTATGTACTTTAACTCTCCAGTGGGGTAGGAAGAGAAACAACTCTTCTGCAGATAAAGGCTATTTCCTAGCTTTTGATGTTGACAGTGAAGAATCCCCTTCTCAACTGACTGACAAAACTTGTCCTTCTCCACAGTGTGGTCGTCACCTTTAAATATGGCATTTAGAGCTTGTGCACATGAGGGAGTTTCACCCTGGTGGACAGCACTTGTGGTTTCCAGTATGGCTCAGGACACACAGTAACTCTCATATGCTGCTCTGAAGAATTTCTGCCCTTAAAAAAAGATGGCAGATAAAAGGTAAACAGGGGCACAGGGGAGGGATGGTTCCCAACATTGCACTGCAGCAGCTATGGAGTTTTGGCATGCCTCAGGTGTTACTTTCTGGATCTCCACATGCTGGACCTTTCTGCCATCCTGATGTCAAAATCCCTGCTGGAGACCAGCCCGCCATGCCTATTTTGGACTTTTTGCAGGCGGTTGTGACTTCAATTTCATACCCAAGTTGTTTTTCATTTGATTGATACTCCTGAGAGTGACCTTTGGCTGACCAAGGTGACAAATACTTCTTCAACCATTTGGGAGGGCTACAGCCCCAGTGTTTCAATATGAGCTCTCTGGTTTGGAATGCCAGCTCCTTTTTGTGTGAGGCTTGTTGAGCAATTTTAAAACCATTCATTACTCCAGTGAAAATGATCAAAAACACAAACAAGAAACCCCATGACAGCATGCAGCTGGCAGGAACACTTTGGTCATTAATGTGGCACTAGATTGTCCTTATTCACAGTGAATGTCCATTTTTCCAGGACACCAGCTGTGTACCTAGATTTTTTTCTTGACAGTGTTAATAACTTACATGGTCAGGAAGTTAGTTCATGGTCAAGGAATTGTGAAAAGCTGGGCCTTCTGGAAGTTTGCCACCTACTTGGGATTCTGCGGAGTTTGAATTGCACGACTGTAAGTGTGGGTCTTTGCACGTTACTGAGACCCAAAAAATGCCAAGAAAACCACTAACCTAAGGCAAAATTTGACTCTAACAACACAAACTCCACCAGCACCAGCATGTAAGTGACAGAAGAAAATGTAGTTCTGAAAGCTCAGCTAAAAACATTACCAAACTTTGGGCAAGGAAATATTCTTTTAAAGACGCCATACTGCCTTGAAAAACTCTGTTTACGTTTTTGCCTTCAAGATGTTCCTCATGATAGACCCTCTATTTTTCTTTTCCTGCAAACCAGAGGAGATGTTTCCCTGTTCAAGAACAATTTCCTATTGCAGACCAAAGATGTTCCAACAGAGACACTATAACCTTAACATCATCCATAAAAATCTCCCAGAGCTCACAACAGTTTATGGATTTTGAAGTTTTAGTCTGTTATCTCCTGTTTTCTGCTACAAAAACCTAGGGCAAATCTGTAATAAATGTTCCCCTCCCACACTCTCCCCCCTTTCCCAAAGCAGATAAATTCATCTTGAGTCTTGTGCATGCACATGCAGACTCATATATTTCCAAGTCTTTCAGGCCACCTCCTCACACACCATAATTTCATTTATAGAATAGCTACTGAAATTCTCAAGATGGAGGTCTAATATTAGAAATCTCTGCCACACCATGGTAAGAACTGCTTCAAAGTTTGGTGTCTGAGCACCATTTATCTGACTGTTCAACAGCATAATTCAGGCTCACACAAAAAAGTCTGTATTTCTTTACTTTGTAGCCAGCAGTTGTTCTCACTTCAGACTACAATTGTGTGAATATGAGCAAGCTGGTTTTTCAGGCTGTGTCCACGGCATTGCAGATTCCCTATTAAGACACATTCTCAACACTTCCTCAGGCTCACCAAGTTTGCCACACCTGATATAATTTCTTCCTCCACTCTATACTTAGGCATTTTAGCTCTTTTGTTAAAAGAAGAGGGAGAGAGGATAGTGTTAGTGGAGTAGCTGTGGCAGAAGCAAATTAATTTTGAATAATTTCTGACAGAGCAGAAGCCTCTAATATGAAAGCAAGCAGAATCATGTTACTTCTCATCAGCTTAAGATGCAGCCTGTGAAAAACTGTTTCCCGTCAGAGTTACCATGCACACCTTTTCCCCCTACTAATTAGAATCACAAAATCATTATCTTCTACGGATCTCTGTCTCTGTTCATCACTGTAATACCAGGGGAATCAAACGCTTTGCCTTTAGGATACTTCCTTTAAGAGCTTTTTATAGTTTTACATATGCAATCAGCACTTTCTGCAACTACTCTGCTCTTTTTGTTGTCATCTTTGACTAGACCTTCATCGTGCACTTGATGCTCACTTCTACTACTATTCTCAAATAGTAGTAGGTCTGCCCAGGGATTGAACTAGAATTTCCTGTACCTTTTTCGCAGCTTTTACACCTGCAAGGACAAAACATGGTATTAGTGCAGAGTACACTTAAAGCAGAGCAACTTTAGAAACATAGGTGAAAAATGGCTACACAGATATTGCATTCAAATAATATTAAGCTATTTTGTTTCATGGTGTAAATTTAACTGGTTTAATATTCATGTTGAGAAATAAAAATGGCCCTTACATTTATTATGACAGCAAAATGTTTCTCAGTTACTGAAAACCTCACCTGAGGTCTTCTAAATTTGACATTAGGCTATCAATCTCACCTTTAAAGAAAAGGGAGAGCATTGAATTTCCCCTTTGTTCATACAGGTTCCTGAGGTCTTAAACCTGTTTATCCCTGAAAGGCTATATATTAAATCCAGCAAAGATAGAATTGCAGTACGCAAATTTATTGGGTCAATTGCCTGGGCAAATTTTAAGGTTTTTTTAATTAATTAATTTTTATTATTTTATTTTATTTAAACATTTTTATGTTGTCTTTTAAATTATTACATTTGCAGTAAATTAATTTCCAGTTGGCAGATGGCCTAATCTAATTTGATGATGTTACATGACATTGCAGTATATAAACATAACCATGGGAGAACTTTCCTCAGAGATAAAGAATAACGGAACATAATTCCCATGTTTCTAACACATTTCCCAAACAAACAACCACAGCACACTGCTAATACCATGTGTGGTGGATTGTTTGCCTGTCTTTTATAAGAGTATAATTTCACTTAGATCAGAGACATATATAGCTTCAATGTGTAGCTTCAATTTCAGACCTTACCTTCCCTCTGATACCTCTTCATCAACCATATTTTTTCACTTTTGTATTGGGCTAAATTTTCACCAGTATTTGTATTAATCAGCCACTTTGACTTGAAACTTGAACTACACATTTTTCTGAAGCAAGGGTCTCTTCAGAATGTGTAGCTTCAATTTCAGACCTTACCTTCCCTCTGATACCTCTTCATCATCACATTGTTCTGCCTCAGCTTCCTTTTGGGAAGGAGCTGGTGGTTCCTCAGCACCCTTTTCACTTTTATCAGCATTTTCCTTCCCTTCACTCTCTTTCTCCTTTTGTTGTTCCTCAAATGCATCTTCAGCCACCTGATGTTCCTTCTTCTCCTCAGCTGCTGGGGACTCACTCTCTATCTTCTCCTGCACAGTTAGTTTTTGACAAGCATCATCAACAACATCTTCCTGCTGCTTTTCTGGAGTGAAGGATTCCTGAAAAGAGTTTCTCCTATATTCATAATGGCTTGCTAAAGACAAAGTTTCTTGTTTCTCCTCTGACCCTTCGCTATGAAACTTGGGAGGATCCACTTCAAGCACAAGGGAACATTCCCTCTTGGTATTTTCCTTGTTGAGCTTATCAACTTCTTCTTCCTGAGAGCAGGATTGACTCTGCTGGATGTCCCCATCTATAAGAGATTACAAAGCAATCTGTCATTGGTTTTCTGATAGTCAGTAACACTATTAAAATATGACTGCACACTTAGCATAAATTCTGTTTAATTTTGGGCTAGGTATTTGTTTTCCTCTCCCACTTTCAAGGTCAGTACAAGTGTCTCCTAAACAAGAGAAGACTACTTTTTTAAAACTGGGATTTCATGGATCCCAAGTGCTTTCTTTGAGACACAGCACTAGAAAATGTTTTTCGCACTTGAAGTTATTGTCAGCCAAGTCAAGGTTAATAAACTCCTCATGCAAAGCCCCTTTTTGAGCAATTGGATACCCTGTGCTTGCTCATGCTGATGAACACACATGTAACGCAAGCAACTTCACTGGAGTTGCTCAGGAAAGGAATGGCTATTTCTGTGTTATTTCTTAGAAACTAGAAGTTGATCAGAGAAAAAAATAGTCTAACCTGTTGAATCTGGTGGCTTCTTTTCTTTTGTTTCTGTTTCATTGAAATGTGACTTTTCTTTGATGACCTGTGGAGTAGGCAATTGATATATTAGTCATTCGCAGCCTGATTTTTTTTTTATCAAATGCAAATACTCTGTGTTCCAACTCATACATTTCCTATAAATGATAGTCCTTATTTTAATCACTGCAAGCTGATTGAATTGATACCAGTGCAAAGTAAGAGAAATTATCTTGGTTGTAATCAGCATCAATGTTGCCATAAAAACAGCCTAGAAAAGATTAGGACTGAACCTCAGAGACTAAACCAAAGAAGCATCCAGGAATCAGCTGCTGCCCTGCCCCAGCTTTTGCTGTCAAAAAACTAGGTTAAACCAAATCTCAGAAAATTTAATATTCTAGGAAAATGTTTGGTAACAATCTTACTGACACTTATCAAGAAGTTCCTCTCTGTTTAATCAACACTTGCTAATGACTTCTTTAACGATGCCATGATTTATTAAGGGCTGTCGGAGACAGTAACCAGGACTTGGAGCTTTGTATCCTTCTTTTACTTGGATTTTACAATGCTGCAGTGACATCTAGAGGTGTTTCATACCAACCCAAGTCCTCATAAAACCTCTGCATTACTGTCACCTTTGTGGATATTAACTGCTCTTTCTATGCTATGTGCTCAGTGTGTTTTTTCCTGGCTACTCCTGGTCTTGTCAGTAGGTGACCACAGTACAACATGGTATCTGCCATTTCTCCATGCTGCTTTTTCACCTCTTCCTCTCGCAATGCTATGAAACTGGCACTGTCATTACTATTATTAGATCCACATGGTGTGAAAAATGCTTTCACCTCAAAATATTTTCCAGAGGGGCTACCAGCTAAAGCAGTATTGTACATATCCCAACAAAATATACAAGTTCAGGCACTTAATTTTGAGTGTCTTATCCATGTGATCAGTCCCACAGCCCTGGGCACCAACCAGTTCTATTACCAAACACTTGTTCTGGTAGGCCCTCCACTTTTTTTTTTATACTTTATTTTTTTAATTTTAATTTCATCAGGCTATATAGAAAATAGGCATGAAATCAAAGCAATGTGTATCTGCTATAAACAGAGTTCGAGGGAAAGGAAATTCCGCAAGAAGCCTAAAGAGTTGAGACAAACTGGATGTAACTGCATGGAGGGATTTCAACAGGACTTGTTCAGAAAATCTTGATCCACAAGGGACAAGGAAACTGGAGTATGAGCATAAGACCTGACACTGACAATTATTTTGGATGCAGTTTATCCCAGGAAGTTGCAGGCCATAAAATGAAAAAGGCCACAATACAACAAGGTAAATACCTTTGAAATATAAATTGGAGCCTTGTTCCTACAGAACTTAAATATATATAATGTTGCCAGATGGAACACAGGGAATCAACCAATGCTCTAAAAAGCACTAAAATAAAATAAAATAGGGAAAAGCCGCAGACTTATTTATTCTGCACTGTGTTGGCAATTAGTAATGCATTCGCCTTCCTGTAAGTATGTCAGCCTCTCCGTACCACTGAGAACATCAGCTCTGATCAAACACAGTCAGCTGAGCAAATAACCAGAGAAATGGCCTCCAAGCTCTTTGATGCATGAGGCCAGATTTCACTTCTGCATTCAGAATTAATTGCAGACACACAGCACTTCCAACTAAATATTGCTGTAGTTTGCAGGTGTGAAATACAGAAGCCAGCTTTTAAAAATCTGTCTAGTGGAAGAAACACTGGACAGTGCTGAATAGCTGAGACTGCCAGGGCATTACATAAATTACTACTGTGTTTATTCAAGCACCATTTCTGATCTTCAACATTTCAAAAGCAGATGAAGACTTCATACTAATTTAAATGAAAAAAAAATACTAATGAAATATTTACTGATATCCGTAAGAATAAATTTGCAATAAATATAGGGGCAAGAGTGCTCTAGAGTAAGAAATACAGATATAAGGACTAGATATTACTAAATAACTGTAAATACATGAGCAGTCCATACATGAACAACCCAGTTTTCTCCACATTTTGCTGTTTGTAGAAACATGTGACTTCAACTTGTCGAATCTTGACCTGGCAATAAAAACAAGACTTTTTGCCCATTACTTCTTCCCTCTAAAGGGTGGGGACTCACCAAGTTCTCTGGAGCTGCCAGAAGTCAATGTATCCTTCCTATCCCAGCCACAGGCGGTACAAAGACCTCCTTGTAGTTTGTCAGGGGCATGTGTGACGTCCAGCCCCAGGCAGCTGAGCAGCTGCTCTGAGAGCCCACAATTCCCAAAAGCCATCACACTCTTTGAAAATCTCATCTGAAAGGTGTGGTGGCTTGTTAAAGACATCTATCCCACCTAATTTCTCTTCATACCACCCCTTTTCCCTCAGTCTGTTAGAACTTTGTTAAGGGTCTTTATAACTTAATCTCTAATAATATTTTATTTATTTATGTATTATTCTTCACAAATTTATGTAACATGACTTTTTCCAGTCTGTAATTTCTAGATTACAGTAATCAATATTCCTTAGTAGCAAACATTTTTTCCCTTTCTTTATTGACTTGAATACGTAAAATCAGGTAAATGGCACTACAGTAATTTTTCTGAGTCATACAAGCCTAAAGCTTCAAGAAATTTTACATTTCTATTTCGCAAAAGCTTAAATATGAAAGTTTGTGTTGTGACACTGTAAAGTATACCACAGCAAAAATGTGTCTGTATCTACATATTTTTTTAATTGTGTCTTCAAAAATATGTTTTCTGGACTTAAACATATTCTTTAATAGAGTATTGCCAGACCCTAAGGAAGAGAGACAGAATAAAAGCCCAGGTGATTATACAGAATAATGTGAGATAGTCCAGAGGCTGAAATTTCAGTACAGACCAACAGAAAAAAAAAACAAAAAAAAACAAAAAAAAAAAAAAAAAAAAACACAAAAAAAAAAAAAAAAAAAAAAAAACAAAAAAAAAAAAAAAAAAAACCCAAAAAAAAACCAAAAAAACACAAAAACCAACGCATTTGGAAATTATTTACATTGACTTTAGAAACCTGCAGAAATAAGAAAAAAAATATATATATAAATATAATATACTCTAATTGAAATTTCAAATGCAGCAAAAATTTAATGTCTTTTATAGACATTTTACTCCTTTTTAATGAGCTCTATATGGTTAAATTCCTTCTTTATACTGCAGCAGTCCTACCTTTGGAATGTTTTTTTAGCTAACTTTCAGATTTTTTTATTCACCTAATAAAACTCTTTGATTCTTTTTTTCCTACTGCAAAAATTTTTGTAGTGAATGGCCTCATGAAGCAACCCCAGCCATTCAGTTAGAGGTCCTTTATCACCCCACCACATTTCATTTTATACCAAAACTATTATCCTCAGCTTCCATCTCCCAATACCAAGACACAAACTTTTGCATGTGCCTAAACCACATTTTAACTGTGTTACTTTCTCATATTCTTGATAGTTTGCAGAGCTGTATTATGGTAAGATAACCTGGTTTTGTGTAAGATCTGATCACCATTCGTTTATCAAAATTATTAAGTTACTTGCAGTTTCCAATCAATGAGTTCCCCTAACAGCCAGAACTCAGCCATGGGCTTTGCCTCTGAGGGTGCTCCCAGTATCTCCTCACCAGTTTCCAGCAGAGTGCAGAACAAAACACAGAGACCTTGGGACAACCACATGTGTGGTGATGCCTCCTGTGCCATCTATCAAAGCTGGAATCCATCCCCACCTGCCCATTTGTGTTCCTCTTCAATACATAGACCTTCCTCCCCCCTCAGCAGTGTAAAATATTCACTGAGAGTATTTTTATTACAAACTTGTAAATGCTAAAAACCACACTCATGGGAATTCTGCTTTTATTGGCAGGTGGTGCATCTGCTTCCATGTCATTATTTTTTTGGTACACTATAACTGCTGCTGGCACCTCCAGGCAAAGATTTTGACTCTTGCATGAGTCTTGAACTAGATAAAGAAATCATTCTTCTGTAAAATCCAAACCCACTCTACTAGCATCTTTAATCACACACAGAAAAGAAGCTCTGAAACATGAGAATCATGATTCCCACAATATGAAATACAAGAGAAGTTTTATGTGACCTGCTGCTTTGAAAATAGATAGGTAATGAGGTAACAACCTCCGCAGGAAAAAATCCCTCAGAACATCATCCTGGAGAGGGAAGAAGCTGGAAATCCGTCAAGACAAAGCATTGTCCATTCCCCACTAAAGTTTGCTGACTTCCCACCCACTGTGCTGAAGAAGCTGTGGCTATCCTGCTTCAAATGGATGTTTACTCCTGCCATGCCATTCTTCCCAAAACAGGGGATCTTACACTGAGGAGTAGAAAAGGCTTTCATGGAATCAGGCTCCTGACAGAGCCCATGGCCTCAGTGAAGATGCGACAGGTTGCACTAACACTGACAGGCTGATACCAAACGTCTTTACTTTTGTCTTGAGATCCAATCACTGCCACTTAACAGAGCCATTACCAGGCCTAAGAAGGCCTTTGGAGGTAGATTGTTTAACTTCAATTGACTGGTTTACTTTTAATGTCTCTGGAATACACTGAGACATTATACACAGTATAATCACTGACAATCTGAGGCTACCAAGACGCTCACTAGAACCAGAGCACTCAGCTTTACCTGGCTTTGACACATGCATGTCCTTTCATTGTATTTGGGAAATCAAACCAACCAGTCACTGCTGGTTTTGAGTTTTTCATCTGAACAAATAAGGGGCAACATCAGGCAAGCACAAGCACTGGAGAATTCAGCTGCTTTTCTTACCAACATGTTAGACAGCCTCACATCTACCCCTTCTCTATACTGCCCAATTTCCTCACCTGTGTGATGACTGACAGGATGCACTTGTGCCTCATATGCACCTGTGCCATAACCCTAAAAGTCTTCCACATGCTACTCCTCACATTTTTATTGTTACTATTAAATAAGACAAGTTCCTAAGTGGGTTCCTCTATTGTCACAGTGTGACACAGGACAAAAAAATTCCATCTTGAAAGCCAAATCACTGGCAGATCTTTTT